GAATAAAATAGGACCTCCTACCTCACACCATATGCAAAAATTAACTCAAAATGGATCAAAGGCCTAAATGTGAGACATATAACTATAAGGACTTGTATCCAGAAGATATAAAGAACTCTTGCAACTCAACAGTAAAAAGATAAGTAACCTAATTTAAAAATGAGTAAGGCACACAAAACCCTGCACCCAGATGTTTAGAGCAGCTTTATGTAAAGTTGTCAAGACTTGGAAACAAGCAAGATGTCCTTCGGTAGATGAATGGATAAACTGTGGTACATCTAGAAAATGGAATATTATTCAGTGCTGAAAGAAAATGAGCTATCAAGCCATGAAAAGACGTGGAGGAAACTCAAATGTTTATTACTACGTGAAAGAAGCCAATCTTGAAAGGTTTCCTATTGTATGATTCCAACTATATGACATTCTGGAAAAGGCAAAACTATGGATACAGTAAAAAGACAGTGGTTGCCAGGGGTTGGAGGGAGGAAGGGATGAATAGGCAGGGCACACAGGATTTTAGGGCAGTGAAACTCTTCCATGATCCTATAAGGGTAGATATATGTCATCACGCATTTGTCAAAAGCCATAGAATGTAGAACACCAACAATTAACCTTAATGCATAAACTATGGACTTCGGGTGATAATGATGTGTCAATGTAGGTTTTTCAACTGTAACATATGTACCACTCTGGTACCAGATTTTGATAGCGGCAGAGGCTGTGCATATGTAGGGGCAGGGAGTATATGTGGAATCTCTATGCTTACTGCTCAATTTTTCTGTGAACCCTAAAATGCTCTAAAAAATAGTCTATTTAAAAGGAAAAAAAATGGGGGCCGGCTCCGTGGCCAAGTGGTTAAGTTCGTGCGCTCCGCTGCAGTGGCCCAGGGTTTTGCTGGTTCGGATCCTGGGCACAGACATGGTACTGCTGGTCAGGCCATGGTGAGGCAGCATCCCACATGCCACAACTAGAAGGACCTGCAACTAAGATATACAACTATGTACCAGGCGGTATTTGGGGAGATAAAGCAGAAAAAAAAAAAAAAAAAGATTGGCAACAGTTGTTAGCTCAGGTGCCAATCTTTTTTTAAAAAAAAAAAAAAAAGGAAAAAATGTATAAGGGATCTGAATAGACATTTCTCAAAAAAAAGATATACAGGGGCCGGCCCGGTGGCAAAGCAGTTAAGTGTGCATGTTCCGCTTCAGCGGCCCAGGGTTCGCTGGTTCAGATCCCGTGTGTTGACATGGCACTGCTTGGCACCCCATGCTGTGGTAGGTGTCCCATATATAAAGTAGAGGAAGATGGGCATGGATGTTAGCTCAGGGCCAGTCTTCCTCAGTGAAAAGAGGAGGATTGGCAACAGTTAGCTCAGGACTAATCTTCCTCAAAAAAAAAAAAAAAAAAAAGATATACAAATTGCCAATAAGCACAGGAAAAATACTCAACATCATTAATCACTACAGAATTGCAAATCAAAACCATAATGAGATATTACACAATGCCCACTAGAATGGCTATAACAAAAAAGACAGACATGGATGAATGGATAAACAGGATGTGATATATGTATGTAATGGAGTATTATTCAGCCTTCAAAAAGAAGGAAATCCTGTCACATGCTATAACATGGATGAACCTTGAGGACATTATGCTAGGTCACATAAGCCAGTCACAAAAAGACAAATACTGTATGATTCCACCTCTATGAGGCATCTAAAGTAGTCAAATTCATAGAAACAGTAGAATGGTGGTTGCTAGGGGCTAGGGGGAGGAGAAAATAGAAGTTGTTATTTAATGGGTAAAGAATCTCAACTTTTCAAGATGAAAAAGTTCTGGAGAGCTTTCACAATGTGAATATACTTAACACCACTGAACTGGATGCTTAAAAATGATTAAGGTGGGGGCTGGGCCAGTGGCACGGTCGTTGAGTTTGCGTGTTCCACTTCAGTGGCCCAGGGTTTGCTGGTTCAGATCCCAGGCGCAGACCCACACACCACTTATCAAGCCATGCTGCGGCAGGCATCCCACATGTAAAATAGAGGAGGATGGGCACGGATGTTAGCTCAGAGCCAATCTTCCTCAAAAAACAAAAAAAAATGATTAAGGTGGTAAATTTTATGTTATATACTTTTTAGCACAGTTAGAAAGAAAAATTTTTTGGAAAAGACAAACAACAATAGAGTTGGAAAGGAAGTGGAGAAATTAGAGCTCTCATACATTGCTGGTTGGACTGCAAGGTGGCGCAGCCTCTCTGGAAAACCATTTGGCAGACAGTTCATCAGGTTAAACACACAGTTACTGTAGGACCCAGCAATTCCACTCCTAGGTGCATCCCCAAGAGAAATGAAAACATATAGCCACAAAAATTTGTACGCATGTGTTCATAGCAGTATTATTCATAATAGCCAAAAAGGTGGAAACAATCCAAATGTCCACCAACTGGTGAATAGATAAATAAAATGTGGCATGTGTGAGGAGAGTGGTGCAGTGGAAATGTGCTGGGCCCATAACCCAGAGGCCAGTGAACTGAAATAAAGTGTCGTTTATACATACGATGGAATATAATTCGGCCATAGAAAGGAATGAAGTACTGACACACACTACTACATGGATGAATCTTGAAAACATTATGTTAAGCAAAAAAAAAGCCAGACACAAAAGGCCAAATATTGTATGATTCTGTTTCTATGACATGCCCAGAATAGGTATATCTATAGAGATAGAAAGCAGATTAGTGGCTAACAGCAGCTGGGGAGGAGCGAGGAATGGGGTATTACTAATAGGTATGGAGGGTTTCTTTTGAGATGATGAAAATGTTCCGTAATTAGAAGGTAGTGATGGTTGCACGTTTTGTAAATATACTAAAAGCCACTGAACTGTAAACTTTAAAAGGGTGAATTTTATGGTATGTGAATTATATCTCAATTTTTTTAAGAAGGTTAAAAAAAAGATGAAGAAACATATCTAACACATGGATACAGGGAGAGTCACCAGGTAGATAACATCCTTGAATGTGACTCCATTTGTACCCATGGTCTGGAAAGACTGGATAAACTCAGGGTTCATACTCTAATATTATTTCCCTTTTCTTAAACTGTAAAAATACTCAATACTATAATGTTAAAGTTTACCTTGCAAAAAAGAGAAAAGTAGCCATAATCTCACCATGTAATAGAACAACTATTTCCTTTTTTCCCATATGTTCTCTGATTGGTGATGACTTTTTCACAAACGTGACTAAAAGATAATAAGGTCTCTATCTTAATCAAGAAGCAAACCTTTGAATTTAGGTATTCTTAGTTGGGATAAATTCACCACATCACATTAAAACTTCTAAAACACAGCTACAGCAAATACGTAACCAATTATTGGCATGAATACCCAAACTTTGCTAGGCGAGTACTCCTCATTATATAACCACACAGTCTCCCCTGCTATTTCTCCGAATTTCCAGATGAGGTCTCTGCCCAGCTTCCTCACTGAACGTCACAGCCTATAAAACTACCTGCAGCTGCTTCCTCAAGAAGCGCTTGCTCCCTAGCCACGTCCTCCCTGAAAATGCTGCCCCACTGTGGGTTTGGGGACATTGGTGCTGAAGGGCGTGTGATATTGGCGAAATCACTTGACCTCTCTGAGCTTCAGTCTCCTGATATGTAAAATTGTACTGGTAATACCACCTGCCAGGTTTTAGTGAGAATTGCATTAGCCAATGTGTGTGATGTGCTTAGTTCAATAAACAAAGGCTGTTATTATTATGACGCAAGGATGCATTAAAAAAAACTCATCTCCAAACCACTCGCCCACACCTTCTGTATTTATCTACATGGTGAACTCACGAGGCGACTGGCAGTTTCAGATAACATTCTACTTGCTTAAAGTAAAGAGTTTTGGGTTTTGTTTCCCCTTTTTCCTGATTATTAAAGTAATAGATGAAAAAAATTTTAACTATTTTAAAACAATATATATACAACATCATAGAAAATTGAAAAGTAAAGGGAAGCCAAAAAAAGCACCCATTCCTACCACCCAAGGGGCAATCGAACATATTTTGGCATGTTTCTTTTTCATTTTTTTTTACATTGTTGAGCTAATATTGTACTTTATATGATCTGATATCCTGTGTTTTTTCACTTAGCACGTTATAAGCATTTCATTTGTTTCATAAATTATTTCAATGGATAAATAACATTTTATTATATGGGAATATTTCATTAACCATTTTCCCATTGTTGGATTTTTAGGGTATTTCCAATTTTCTATCACAAATTACACTTTCTGAGCTTCAGAAACATACATATATGTTTATATATATGTATATTAGAGATCATGAAAGAAGAGAAGCATGTGGGGGGTGCCTTTGGGCATGAGGTTGTTGGGAGGGGGCAGGGATGGGGCAAGGATTTGCATTATGATGTTACATACTTCTTTGTTGTTTAAATCCTTTAAGGCAAGCAAGAAGGACTTCTTTTTTTTTTAAAGATTTTATTTTTCCTTTTTTCTTCCCAAAGTCCCCTGGTATGTAGTTGAATAGTTTTTTAGCTGTAGGTCCTTCTAGTTGTGGCATGTGGGACGCCACCTCAGCGTGGCTGGATGAGTGGTGCCCTGTCAGCGCCCAGGATCAGAGCCAGCGAAACCCTGGGCCGCCAAAGCAGAGCACGCGAACTTAACCACTCAGCCGCGGGGCGGCCCCCAAGAAGGACTTTTGTAATTAAATGTTTAAGCAAAGGGAGGGAGGAAGGGAGAGTGGGAGAGAGAAAGGAGGCAGGGAGAAAAGAAGAAATCGAGGAAGGGAGGAAGAGAGGAAGGAAAGGAAATCTGCACCAATTTGATTTGTGAAGAGCCTGGAAGATCAAGAGCTACTAAGCAATCTGTCTCCTCATATGTTTTGTAGAACAAAGAAAAGTACAGACCTATAAATAAGAAAGTGGGCACATTTGGGATTTAATCTCTCTGAGCAAAAGGGGAGATAGTAAGCTGCAAAATATCCCAGCCCAACTTACTGATCAATTTTGGACTCTGTGGTGTTTCCAGCTTTGTCTTTCAATTTGATTGTTATGGACCCTCTTCTTATGTTCTTGTTCCAAGTTATAATATCCAGAAAGTAATGATATACTGCAAAACAGGGAGAGAACATGGTAAGAGAGAGACACTCTCAATTGCTCCCCTGAACGGTCAGTTCCTAAAAACCCAACCTCCCTAATAACTGAGTCTCTTTTCCTCTTCCTCTCTAGTTTTGCAACAAGGATCCAGGGCAGAATTTTGTAATTTCCCTTTCTATCTTTGTTAAAGATGGCTTGAGTGACGGCAGAATTTAATAGTATCCAGTCGCCATGTTTAGGCCTTATCGTTGGATCAGTGTTCCCAACCTTATTGACTGAGGTTACATGACCTGCTGCTGAGGATGGCTGGTTCACTTCAATCCTGGCTCATGTTAGAATAAACCAGCCAGGTGGCCGTGTAGAGACCCTCCACAACTGACAAGGTCTTCTGCAATCTGGGCCGTGTTCGCCAGCCTCCCCAGCCCACCTCATCTCTTCCCCAGTCATCCATACCACCTGCACCACCTGCACTGCCGACCTCTCCCTTGCTTCTGGGCCTTCCTCCCACTTGGACGCTCTTACTTTGCCCCCTTTGCCAAGTCATCCTTCAGGTTTCGGCTTAATGTCACTTCCTCCAGGAGGCCTTCACTGACCCTCAGACTAAGTCACGTCTCCCTCTTGGAATTCTTATCATCCTCTGGTATTCTCCCGTCATTAGTCAGCACACTATACTGTATTTACAAAATGCAAGAAAAAATGATAATCAAAAAAGTGATAAATGTATGGGTACATCTATACAAATATTGCCTGAGTAATCTTGTGGGGTTAAAAAACAATTAAGCTAAAATATACTACAACAATAACTGGGAAAGGATGGTTACTCCTTTTTGTAATCCCAGCAGTAATACCTTATAGGCACCCAATAAATTGCTACTGAATAAATGAGAGTTCGTGATGTGTTCAGAGAACTATTCTTCCTCCCTACTCTTTGCTCTCCAAGGTCAAGGATGCTTTGGGAAGATGGGGATCCCACCATGGTAGTCATATTTACCGTCTCTTGGTCAGACTTGCAGAGAAGGGAAAAGAGGCTCAGGGAGATAATGGTCCCACAAAGGAATAAAGTCAGCCCTGGAGTTGCCATTTCACGGCCCATTATTGCTCAGGGGTTTGTCCCATTTGGACTTGGGCAGACACCAAACCCTGGGCTGCCACACATGGCTCCAAAGAAGGAGGGAAAGTCAGCACTGCAACCTGTTTTGTAAGTGTTGCTCTCAAGAAGAGTGAAAAGGGGAACAGGATTGCAAGACATATATCTGCCCAGGAAAATTCCTACTTGCTTCCTAGGGCATCTCATCGTCTGCTGCCACATTTAGCCCACATCTGGTAGACCCAACCTCTCAATGTCTTCAGAAGGTCATCAAGGTTGCTTTGGAGCTGGAACTGACTTGTAGATGTGACTGACACCTGATTTTTCCTAGCCCCAATCTCATGTCTCTTGGGGATCAAGCAATTTTCTGGAAGATCTTAGTGATTAGAATGGCCATCCAGTAAAGCTAACAACTATAATTTGTTGAGATTTTTAATCCTTATAACCCAGAAGATAGGCATTATCATCCCCATTTTACCTAGCAGACACTGAGACTCAGAGAAGATAATTGTCTTAAGCAAGGTCACACAGCTATCAAGTGGCAGAGTCAGGATTTGACCCAGGTCCTTCCCACTCCAAAGTCCATGCTACGCCATGGATTTCATTTGCCAAGAAGTAGCCAGGAAGCTGAGACTCAGCCATTCCACAAGTAGAAGGGTTGGGCAAAAGCAAACAACCGCGTTCACCACTTACTGCAGAACGGCTTCTCCTGGGCTGTGTCAAAGAACGCTTTAGTCATAGGAGGATCTTGCGCCCTTAAATAGTCTTTCCAATTATCAGCATAATAGCCTGTAAAACAAGTTGGAAAAATGTCACATTAACATGTATTATATAAATGTAAAAGCAACTGGGGAAGTAGTCAGAACAGCAAGTTTGATTCCACCACCACCAAGCCCATCTCTTCAGTACCCACCCCCATGCAGAGGACCCACAGGGCCACCAGGCCAGTGCCTCCCCAGCACCCACCATGCCTTGCTCGCTACCCGATGCCTAAGAGCTGGGGCTTGCTTAAGGACTCCATAGTGGCTTTTCTCCCCTTCTGCTGATGTTCCATCACCCAGCCCTGGTTCTCAGTAGCAAGAGTTGGGGGGTAGGGAGTGCTACATACTGGGTAGACTTAAAATAGCCCCGATATTTTTCCATAATACATTCACTTTATAGATTAAAACAGATTCAGGTTTATACCTAGAATAGTGTCACTCTTGCAAAATGATATGCTTTCTTAAAGGACTACAGTTGGGCCCCCAAATTGCACAGAACCTGGACTTGCCAGGTGACTATGTCAACAAGAAAGGGAATGTCCTCCTTCATGTCTGTGCCTGCAGGAGCAAGGTTGAGAGCCATCAGTGGGGCCTCTCTCTCTCCTCTGTTCCCACCCCTAGAGGATGGCCACCACATTCCAACTTAATTGATCTGGAGTGGGACCCAGGCATCGGGATTTTTTTAAAAGCTCCCTGGATGATTCTAATGCAAAGCAAGGTTGAGAACCCCTTGTCTATGTGGCACACCCTGATGTGAACTCGGGTTTTTCCCTTGGGAACAATTAGAAAATTCTCCTGACCATCCGGTTTCAAAGTCCTCACCACCTAGAATATTTCTATTAACCTTAGCAAACATCCAAGCAGCCTCCACAGTATCTATTACCCCACCCCACCCTGGGACGTGCACACAAGAGCCAGAGTGTGGTGTGAGGGCATTTACAGACATGACTTGTTGGAAGGGACCACCATGCAAGGCCCATTTGACAGGAGAGTCTCTGGGCTCATTGTGGCCCTCCCCGAGCAGAATGGTTGTGTGCACAGAGAGGGTGTTCCTGTTCCCATCAGAGCAGGCCACGTAAGGTGACTGTGGCCTGGGTAGGCTTGGAAACTCTTCTAGAACCTTCTTTTTCATGCTAGAATAGAGTGTCCAGGGAGACTGCACTACTTTCTGGGTGAAATCCTATACTGATTGCTTTTCTAACAGTGTTTATCCTTAGGAGACCCCAGAATACTGCATGGAAAAAATTGGCTAGAAAAAGCCGACTAAATAAATTTTTTTAAAACATACAACTTTCAGCCCCAGTTTTAGAGATTAAAATGGTGTGGGGATTCTACCAAAAATTAGCTCTTCGTTAATCCAAACGGGAAACTGCTTGTTGGACTCACCCAGAAGGGGACAGGACTCCTGTTGTGGTGTGCCACACTTGACACACTTGCCCTTCCTGTAGTCCCAGTAGGAGTCACAGGGGTACGCAGTGATAGCACAGTTCTCTCCCAGGGAAGAAAGAAACAAGTACACAGACCTCTGGTGGTCACACTTAAAATACTGTATTCCTGGGTTATAAAGGGAAAGAGTAAAGAGCAGAGCAGATGTAGCATTTAATAACAGAGTATCCTGTGTTGTACACACACACAACTTATCATCTGTCTCTTGTGTGCCAGGCACCGTGCCAACAGCTTCAGCATATTTGATTCCATTTAATCCCTATAAAAACCCATAGATCAGGCTTCATGCCAGCAAGTGGCAGGAGGAAAGAAGATAGGCATGGTTGTCCCCATTTTATCTAGCAGGACATTGAGACTCAGAGAGATTAAATGACTTGACCAACGTCACACAGCTATTACATGGTAGAATCTGGGTTCGACCTATGTTCTTTTTCGTCAGTGAAAAGGAGGAGAAAATCTCAGTGGTAGTCAGAGATTCCCCAGAGATTTTCAGCAGAAGGCAAGAGTGTTTAAACTAGTAAATACATCAGAGAAAGAAGGCATCAGGGGGTAACTGGTAGAGGGAGATTCCCAAGGAGCGCAAGCAGAGGAGATGGCTTTGAGAAAGGAGGGGGGATGCCTCTACCCGGGGTCAAAAGGGAACATGAATGTAAAGATCGAACTCGTGAACAGAGATGAGGGTAGATAAAAGGTGGGACCTTGATCTAGGTACAGAAGTCAAATCTAGCTTACCTCTAAGAGGGGAGGGTTTATAGTGGGGAGATATTTGGAATAGAAGCATGAGAAGTGGTCATAGGGAGTCAGGAAGAGATCAACATGAAGCTTCTCCAGCATTCTTGAGGGCCATGGAGAAGTTAGCAAATTTGCCTGGACCTTGTGGTCAATCAGTGAGGCTCCATGACTGCTCCAGAATATTCCCAAGCAAAGGTGGAGCCTGACATGGCAGAAACCTGAGAGCCTGGGGGTGCAGAAGACGTTCATGAGAGCAGCCAAATGGCAAGGGCTCCATTTCTGCTCCAGGGTGAAGGGTGAAGTGAGGGGGCTCAACAATAGCAGGTGGCACTGGAAGCCATGGATGGGCAAGAAGTGGTGAGAGGGGAACCTCAAGTTAACTCTTAGTGGGCGCCGTGTGGTGTGATGGAGAGAGAGGAGCCTGATGAGGCATGGAGATGGGCGTCAGAAGAGCTGGAGATGACGGAGCACTGCAGCAAAGCATATGAGAAAGGAGGTCAGAAGGTTGATGCGCCAGATGGTAAAGTCATTCAGAAAAGGGAACGGGGTCCCAAAGAAGAGTCATCAAAGGAAGTAAGGATCTGAATTGGAAACAGTGAACCCCAAGAAAAGAGGAGTTATGACTGTGAGCTAGTGGTTTGGAGAGAGACTGGCTGCTGGAGTCAGATCAACGTTTCCTCTTCCTCCACAGTCCACTTACACCCATAGAAGAGATCAGTGAAGGACAAAGAGAAATAAACTGGGCAAGAGAGGAGAAACAGGGGGCTGGTGTGGAGCCAAGCTGGACTGGAGTAAAATCTGACAAGTCAATATTTATTTACTGTTCCTGGAACTTTCACTGACAGAAACAATAAAGTCAATAACAATACAGATAATGGGGCCGGCCCCGTGGCAGAGTGGTTAAGTTCGTGTACTCTGCTTCGACAGCCCAGGTTTCACCAGTTCGAATCCTAGGCACGGACATGGCACTGCTCCTCAAGCCATGCTGAGGCGGCCTCCCACATGCCACAACTAGAAGGACACACAACTAAAAATACACAACTATGGGGGCCTGCCCAGTGGCACAGCAGTTAAGTGCGCACATTCCGCTTTGGCAGCCTGGGGTTCGCTGGTTCGGATTCCAGGTGCGGACATGGCACCGCTTGGCAAGCCATGCTGTGGTAGGCGTCCCACATATAAAGTAGAGGAAGATGGGCACGGATGTTAGCTCAGGACCAGTCTTCCTCAGCAAAAAGAGGAGGATTGGCAGTAGTTAGCTCAGGGCTAATCTTCCTCAAGAAAAAAAAAAACAACTATGTCCAGGGGGGTTTGGGAGAAAAAGGAAAAATAAAACCCAAAAAAATAAAAAATACAGAGAATGTCATTTGTAAGCAAAGTGCATAATCTCTGACTGCTATGGGATTTGAACATGCACCATATATGGTACAGTATGGTTGGCTTTACTTATGCCATTTCATCTGCATCATTTTCAAACACTACATCATTCCCATAGGGCCACGTGCAGCTGCTATTTTGTAACAAGATTTTTTTTCCTAGAATTATTTCCATGATTGTTGAACTTTCTCTAGCAATGGTGAAATACAAATTCAGAGCACTTAGGGGTGGTTTTTTTTTTAATTCTGCCCCTCCCCCTCCCACTTTTATGTTGTCCTCCAACTACCCATCTTTATTTTGTAAGATTTTTCTCATTATAAAAGTAATATATGCTCATTAGAAAATACAAAATAATAGGAAATAATGATGCAAAAATTGCCTAGAAGTCTAATATCCAGAGATCACCATTAATAATTATTTGGAGCATTTATGTTTAGATTTTTTTCTCTACTTACACACTTACAAATAAATACACGCTTAAAGAAAATTGGGATCATACTGTATAAATTTGTGTCTTTTTCACTTATCATATCGTAAGCACTTTCACTAATCTGAAAATAAGAATTTTAACAATTATATTTCTTTCTGTGGGTATATCATAGTCACTTAATAATTTTCCTGAGTTGGATATTTAGCTTATTTCTAAAAATTTAAGTCATAAATACACTGTGTTGAATATCTTTGCACTCCAATTTCTGTCTACATTTTCCATTATTTCTCTAGGAGAGATTTCCGGATGTGGAATTTCTAGGTCAAAGACGCACTTATTCAAGAGAGAGAAATAGTTCATTCTAGCTTTTAATCAGATGGTTATGGTTTTTAAAAGTAGTATATTTGAGTAATAATTTTTAATTTATAATTTATATTTATACCACCTCTTTTCTCGGGAAATGTTTTCTACTAAAAACTATTCTGTATAGAATAATATCAGATTTTTAAAGCACTATTTTAGAAAATCTAAAGTACCTGCACTTACCTGCAAATATTGTGTTAGGACAACCAGGCTGATCCAATCCTCCATTTGGGTAGAAGTCTATGTTTCCTAATGGTTCCCTGTAGCCCAGTGCTAAAAGAGAATATACTATGCTTTTATACTGCTTTGAGCTTTTCACATCTCATAGCTCATTTGCCTGCAGGATATAAGCAGGGATTGTGTTATTATTATTGTCATTGTTCTTGTTGTTGTTATATCTATATAAATATTTTGCCCAAAGTTACCCAGCTAGTTTGTTAGAAAGCAATGATTTCCAACTAGGAGACCATGAAGATAGCAATAGAATTTATTTCCAGTATTTCTAAAGACATAAAAGAGTTTGGTTACTCATTCACTGCAAAGCTGATAAAATGATGTTTCTTCTTTATATTTGGCTGGAAACTTCTAACCGCCAGATGTTTCCCAAGGTTCTGCTTGCATTTGCGTAAGTTTTTAGTGAATAAGAAACGGGAAAAAATAAACTTTACTTAGTAGGAAAAATCTTTAAAAATTTAAGATCTAGGATTGTAAAAGCATTGGAAACTCTTCTAGAAAATGGGGAGCTGAACATTATAAATAGATTTAATAATTGCTTATTCTCTTTAACTTGTAACCCCAAAATAATCAGTAAAATTCTTGATTAAAAAGATTATTTATATATATGTATACATATATAGTGTAACAGCTAGATCTTAAGTTAGCACGAGGGAAGCCATCTTAGGGAAAGTAAGCAATATTGTAACTACGATCCTGACTCACTAGTCTCTATGAAAACATTCTAGCCTACACACAGCCCAGATGATTAAGCGCCTCTCACTTTTGCAAAATACATGATCCCCTAGTTCTATGACTCTTGCTTGCGTATACTTCCCAGGTGTGATAAGACAATAATTTTGTTCTCTGACTTCCCCAGGAACATGACAACCTCCAGAAAGAAAATTCTGCACTAGTATCCATCACAAATGACAAAAGAAAGAGATAATGTGGGGCCTTGAAGTTCGTCACGCTGGATGGTTGATGTCCCTAAACCCCGCTCCTTCCCTGCCCACTTCCCCTATAGAACGGCCTCAGATTCTGTAGGATTCTAAGACGGTTCTTCAGGACACTAGTCCACCATCTTCCAGTTCTGCCAGCTAATCGTGTAAACTTTCCTTTCTCAACCACCGGGCTCGTTTGCAATTGATTGACCCTGGATTGCCGCGAGCAGAATGAGCCCCTTTTCGCTCGGTTACAATAGTACATCATTGCAATATATTTTGAAAACCTACATGTGTCTGTGGGCATGATGTTAGGTTTCACACAACTTTCTTCTAATTTTCACAATGTCTGAAAAGTAGCCATTGGTAAATTCAGATGAAGTAAGTTACAGACGGAAATACTGGGCTCAGAGGACTTAAGGAACAAACACGACACCACTAGAGAGAACAAAACCTGGGATTGGAGTCCACCTCTGCCTGACTGCAAAGTTTATACTCTCTCCCTCAAAATTCACTTTCTCCCCAAGAATAAAAAATAAATTACTCTATTCCATCAAGTGTTAAAATGTCTTTGAGGTATGCACTTAAGTAAGTCAGTACTTTGCAAACTACGCAGTAAGAATGCAGCTGTTTCACAGGGACATTTCTTCTACAGCAAATAATTGCTGAATACCACATCAGAGTGCCCCTGGTAGGTGGTCAAGCGTTTTTCAGGTGGTCGTATCGCAAAGAAGGTGTAAGTAAATCATCAGTCTGCTCTGTCCCTTCAACCCTTCCCAAGTTCCTCCTCCACTTCTTCCCCCCGACATCTGGATGTAAAGACCCATCTTTAACATCACCCCAACCCCCATGCATGTACCCAATCTCAAATATGAAATCAGCACCACGAAGACAGAAATGGCCAGAAAGATCCACAGAGAGCTGGAGAGCTATAGGTGGTTCAGAATCGCTCTGTGTAGAGGGACACAACACTTGACTATACCTTTCAGCTTAAGGAAATAATGAGAACCAAAACAGGAAATTATGCATCCAAACCCAGTTGCACATATGGAAACATCTGTCCACTTGGTGTGGAAATCAGCCCGTCCTTGATTTTTCAAGGCGATCGCTTTAAAAATAAGAAGAGGTGACGGGAAAAGCACTTTCACTCCAGCAAGAGATCTTGGGTGCCTGCATTAAACCAACTTCCCTTCAACATTTCTCTGGATTTGGAACCCTGCCTCATAGCAAAAGAGGGAATCTGGAGGAACCTGATCCACCCCTGCATGACGATCCCCTCAGGGGGAGACTCTTTGGGAGTCTGGGGGAGTCACTGACCCACAAGGAAAGGAATGTTACCGTCAATGTCAGAATGGATGACGTCAACGAACTGTGCATCACTGGGATCTAATCTGTCCTCCGGAGGTCTCCCGTTGAATAAAGGGCCCGCAGGGTCGAGACCTGGAAGGAAAACAGAGTTGGCTTGGCAGCCCCACGCCATGAGTCACCTGCAGCCAGGCTTTTGATCCCTCCTCACGAGGATGGTTCACAGGCTGCAGGACACCCTCGCTTGGGCAACCACTCACATTCCCATCCTGCTTTGTCAGGCTCCTTTCCACAGCCCTGTGGCCTTTTCCCACAGTGGAGAGGGTTACTCTGGCAGTGTCCCCTGAGAATGGCATCCAGACCCACCAGGAGGTATATGTTGTGAGGGGCTCAACAGCAGGGAGTGCACAGACATACGGGGACCAGGGGCGTGGGGATAAACTGCTTCCTCAGGAAAAAAGCGCCCAAGGGTGCATATAAAAAGCAGATGCTATACTTAATCTTCATCCCATTTTAAATGACCCAGAAACCTCACTCAACCTTTCCTTCTTGTTATTAATACAACTTCTTTACAGTTTCAATTTGTATTCATATGTACCAGTTCATATGATCCACATCCCATGCCAGTGAGGGAGGCAGGTAATTATTATGACTCCTATTTCACAGATGAATGAACTGAGGTTCAGAAAGATCCATAACCAGAGCCACAGCCTCACGAGGCAACCACTTCTTTCTGTTGAGCTCTTGGTTTCACCACACTGGGTTTGGCAAGCTCAGTGGAAAGGTGTGAAACTCACTGGTCAGGGCAGGTGTCAGATATGGATGAGGGAAATAAAGTGGGTGTCAATTCCTGCAGAATTAACCTACCCCACCAATGCCTGGACTGATTTCTTTTCTTGGTCAATGTTAGCTGGGCGTTCCTTATCATGGTTATGAAACAGCTGGAAAAACAAGAGAGCAGCTGCTGTGATGCTGTAACCACAAACTACAGTCTTTAAATTGAAAAAAAAAAAAAAAAAACCCAAGAAGAAAAAAACACCAGTGTTTCCAAAAAGCCCTGCTTGCTAGAAACCTACCCGTAGTGAAGAAGGTTTCAAGGTATGTCTCGAAGTTATCTAAGAATGTCATTTTAAATGACATCTCCCATCCCCTGGTGTTATAAAATCTGAGAGATGGCAACTTGGCCTCAGTTTTCCTGTTCTAGCCTCACTCTCTCCATTTCCCCTCTCTCAATACTCTTTTGCTCCTTGAGGCTTGTCTTCGTCTGCCTCCTTTCCTTATCTCTTTCTCTTTTTTCTCCCCAGCTTTTCTTCCCCGTTTGTCTGCTCCCAGCTGAAACTGATGTGGGAGGAGACTGATCAACATGTGGGCACCCAAGGCCACAGGATATTCTCCACACAGAATAAGAAACTCCTAACCTAGGAAAGGGTCTGCTGCGGAAGCAGCCCCGTCTCCTAAGACGGCACCACTTCCTGTCGAAGAAAATAAACCATGAGAGCCCCAGTTTATGGCAACCTCAGATCCACGGCAGATAAATCGGCTTACTACACAAAGTCCAAACCAGGGCAATTCTGAAAGTGATGAGGGTGCTATTAATAATTATACCAGGACAACAGGCTCAAATGGGGACTGTCACAGTAAACTTGGGCATATGATCTCTTCAGTGATAAGCCAGAGCAAATGATCAGCTTACAATGTCCGACAAAAAACACAGTTAACCTGCCCTAAAAAGCTGCGTATTTTGTGTCGGCAGAGACCACTGGAGTCAGATAGATGTGACATGGAGCCCCAAACCTAACACCAGCAGCTGTGTGACCTTAGGTGGGTTACTTTACTTCTCTGAACCTCTGTTTCCTTGTCTGCAAAATGGAGGTAGAATTAATAGCTACTTCAGAAGACTTATAAAAGGACTTCTGGATCTGAATCAAGAACATTTTGAGATTATTATAGAATAGAAACAAAATGGGAAAATCGAGCTCTTTCTCGTTGCTCTAAGATCACCAGAAAAGTGTCTAGATATTGATCCTTGGTTTTTATTGCAGCATTAACTGGCTTGAGAATTTGATGAAAGCTCTGGACCTCTCCCAGGACAGACATCCAACATTTTGCATGCAGTTTCAGGGACTCTCACTCCCATCCCCAAGGTCACCATGAAGTATTTAAGGCAGTGCTGTGCAATAGAAATATACTGTGAGCCACATATATACTTTAAAATTTTCTAGAAGCCGGTTTTAAAAAGTAAAAAGAAATAAGGAAAATTAATTTTGATAATACATTTTATTTAACCCACTATATCCTAAATATTATCACTTCAATGTGTAATCAATATTAACAACTTTGAGAGTTTTTAAATATTCTTTGTAGTTAGTCTTCGAAATCCGGCGTGTATTTGTATTTGCAGCACATCTCAATTTGTATTAGCCACATTTCAGGTGCTCAATGGCCGCACGTGGCTAGTGGCTACTATATTGGACAGCACAGCCCTATGGTTGTTTCCTAAAGTGTGGTGTTCAGACCACCTGCATCTTCTGGTTAAAAGTACAAATTCCTGGACCCCAACCCCAGAATGCGGATTCAGCAAGTCGGAATTGTAACCAGCACTCCTAGGTGACTTTTACATGCCCTTGCATTTGAGAATCAAATTTAATGCATTATCAAGTGATCAGGTACTTGAAATATTTTAAAATCTGTTCATGCTCTGCCATCTTCTGCTGGAGAAGTTAATGAGAAGTAAAACCAGGAGATGTGCCTGGAGAGGAAAAGCAAAAGGAAAGGCAGAGGAAAGAAAGGGAAGTGGAAGAGATGAAGCAACCAATACAGCCTAGTAAATAACAAGCAGAACCGTCGGGTTCTGGGGCCTTGGGAGTGAATCGGGTCCTTGAGTTCTGGGCCAGATTCCCGCTGCACAATCCAGTGAGTCTACTCAGGCAAGGCAGTGGGAGGTGAGCGAGGAAGGGAGACACTTTACTCCTGAAACTGCTCTGAGGGGCAGCTGAGATTGACCTTGGGGCTCAGATAGGATGAAGAATCAGGAGAGCATAAGGAAGTCAGCAGACAGAAACTTGAGCCGTGAACCATTGGCTGGGTGCAGGCCACAGAGTGGGCCACGTGGGCCCAGAGTGGAAGGAAGGCTGGCTCAGGGAATTTCCATGCTCAGAGACCAGGTTACATCGCATTCACATTCAAAGTAGTCATGGGAACAGGTTTGCTGGGAGGCGGAGGAGCAAAACCCAGGAGAGGGGGCGGGGTGGGGGGTGGGTAGATAGAATAAGGCCATGGTGGCCCGGAGGCCCCTAGGACCAGCACTGGAGAGCAGATTCTGCTCATCTCTTCCCAAACTTTGCCGTCAGTGATGTCAGGTTGGTAGCTTGAAATCAGTCACGGTGGAGTATTGCACCATGGAAATCAGCAAACACTACAAATTAGGACTTTTTTGGGGGAGGTAGAGCCAGTCAGCGTCTAAACGCACTAATGGGGAATGTACCACCCGCCAAAAGAGGAGCTCCCAACAGATAAGGGATGCAAGCAAATTCAAGCCATCTGTCCTTTGTACCCATAAGGGAAAATGAAATTTTAAAAAAGCACACATTGCTTTATAAAACATAGTAACAACAATAATTTAAAAAACTGAAAAAGCGCTTTGCCTCCCTAGGAAAGCAGGTAAATAAGAAGATGAGGACAGCCTTGGCCTTTGGGGTGAAAGTAAGAAAAAACCAGCCAGGAAAAACAATGTGACCTCAAGTACCCGGGTAAGAGGAGACACTAGGCAATGTGGGGTGTCTGTGTGTGTGTGTGTGTGTATGTGAGAGAGAGAGAGAGAAAGAACGACTTTCCCAGGGCTACCTGTCAAGTTAAGTAGCACCTTGTGGCCCTAAAAGCTTACTTCCCAAAGTAGTTGGTTTGAATGTCTCCTCCCTCCGTTCACTTCTGCCTTCCAAATTCCCTAGATTTAAGATCGCTACCTCTGTGTGAGGATGGATTCTGGGAAAGGTATGAATAAAAGAAGCCTTGAGTCTCTGCAAGAGAAAGCCTCCCTCAGCCCTTCCTTCGTAGCTCTGGGGAAGCTTTGTTTGGGGATTCACCTGCTGTCTATCTGAGGGTTTTCATTCAGCTTTGCCCTGAAAGCTTTTATTCAAAGAGTAAGCCCCAGCCATCAAAATTCCCATCTCATTTTCCTTTCGTGAGACTCCAGCTGTGCCTGGGAGGGAAACATATTAGGTGTATAGTTGAAACCATCCTGGATTAAATGAAAAGAAGAAAGCTATCTGCTTGGAGGGCACAGAGCAAATCCCATGGGACGTAGCTGTTTTTCTAGCATAAGGGAAATAAAATCACCACCTATCTTTGCTGTGGCATATACAATTTACAAAGTGCTTTGCCTAGATTTTATTAAATAATACCCTGAGGTCAATATTATTATGGTCTCTCCTTTGCACAAGAAGACACACACTCTGAGAGGTTAAGTAATTGGAAGAGCTGGCTTCAAACCCAAGGATTTGGGTTGCCTGTGTCATGCTCCCTCAGTTAACACTCTGCCCAGCCTGACTGCCCCGTGCTCATTCACAGGAAGCCTTACCTGTAATTCTCCCCAGCTGCCCATTGTACATCTCTCCAACAAACCCGGATATGTGGGCTCCTAGACTTACTCCAATCATATAAATGTCATCAAGAGAAGCTCCTGCTGCCTGAAATTCCAAGAGGACCATCATTATAAATTGTGAGGGGCCAAGATGGTGACAACACTTGGAGACATTTTCTAACTGTTGACTTTGGGGAAACACTTCTAAGCACCTTATACCCATTATCTCATTTAAATGTCACATCGCCCCACAAAGTAGATACTATTATTTTGATAATACAGATGAGGAAACTGAGGCCTACAGTTGAACTAATCTGCCCAAGGTCAGGCACTTGGGGAGGGGCAGAGCGGGATTCGAACCAGTCTATCCAACTCCTAACCTGTGCCTTAACCTGTCGGGCGTGGTGCCTCCATTCCTGCTTCTGCTAGAAACCAAAGTAAGACAGCTCTAAAACCTTCCCACTTGGGGAGAAGGGCGCCAAAACATTTTGATGAGCTCCTTTATCTTCATGCTGGCCCAGTTAATGAAGTCACTATGGAGAAGGAAGGAAAGAAAGGGGGAGGGGACAACATTGACCGTAGTCTGCTGGGACAGCCTGTCATGAATCATTTTAATATTCACTTTCCCAGGGCTGTGGCTTAGGTGGTGGAGCTTGTGTAAAGCTTATGCCACCCCCGGCCACGGTGGCCATCAGGCCTGATTCTCTCTGAAATAGTCCTCATATCGTCACTTTTTTTTCATAATGGGCAATTCATGAGATAGATCACTAAATAAAATTTAGGATTTACTTAATCTTTGTAAGTCTTCTAAAAACATAAATCATACACACACAAAAATCTCTCACCAGACCATGTGTATCAGTTTTGGTTTGGAATAATCTGGTCACTAAACTTCTGGCATTTCTAAGAAAAGGAAGAGCTTATAGAAGTTGAGGAAGCAGTATGCCTTGAAACCAGGAAACTCCTAGACAGAACCTCTCCTACTCATAAGGCATCTATATGGGAATTAGAAAAAGATGCCCCCTCTTAAGGACGCTTTGCTGGTATTGCTAGAAAATTATCATAATAAAATGTGTAAATCCACAGTGTTTACAGGGACAGTGGTGCTTCCTTAGATGGGTGCCCTAGCAGTGCACAACCTGCACAACCATACCTATGGGCGTTCCCTCCAGCCCTTCCCCCACTTTCCCTGGGGCTTATTCAAATTTGAAAAATAGTCCCCCTGTTCACTGCAGATATCTCTTGGCTTTAAATCTCTAGGTAATGGCCCAGTCTCAATTTGGCCCAGAATCATCTAAGAGAATTCTCCCTTACCAACATCTGGTCGATAAATTCCTTCAAGATTATTGCTACTTTTCTGGTCTTATTAGAGGCACGGGTGTATATTACAGTTGTAGCTCCTCGATTCCAATCGACAACAACCACGTTCATGTCTTCTACAGAGAGCAAACCCTCTACTAAGTCCTCGATCCAAACTGGAGGGGAGCCTGTTGGCCTGAATCCATGGACAAGGAAGGTGGTTTTCTTCGTCACGTTCAAGTTCCCCATGGCCGTGGGGTTGATGACTTGTGCACAGGTCGGATTTCTCCTTGTGTAAAGCAACAACTTCACATTTAGTCCCGTACCAATCACTGCACTGGAAAAGCTCAATCTGGTGAATGAAGGACATGTTTCCTTTGTGTCTGAAAATAAAAATTAGACAACATCATGACAGTTCTTTCCTTGGTTGAGTATCAAGCAAGAGTGCTGGCCTATAATCACTGAAGTTCTTTCTGTGTGGCTTATAGCAATTAGCAGGAGGCTGGATCTGGTTGAATGAAGTTGCAAAGTCATACCTGATTCGGAGTTCATAAGTAGTGACTTCTTTTTCACCAGGGAAATCATTTTTCCAAATCCTGACCTCCTTCAAGGTCTAACACAAAAGTCACCTCAATGAAGCCTTCTCCAGATCTTCCAGCCATAAGTACTATCCTTCATCCCAGAACTCCCCAAACCCCTTTATGTACCTTATTGACAGCATAACGGAAACATTTCCAGGGGTGTATTATGGGCATTTATGGACAGACACGTCTTCCTGCTAGACCACAATCTCCCGGAATGGTGTCTTATAACCCTGTGTATCCCTCACAGTGCCCAGCATGTGGTAGACGACTCTAACTGAATCTGCCTGGTCTGAGCACCTCTTTCCTTGTCCAGAGCACCCTCCTGGGACAGTGGTGGAGGATGTGATGTACCTTGCCCTGAGCCTTTCAGTAGCATCTAAAACTGTTGACCAAGGCGGCCTTTCTTGGATCCTCTCCATCTTTGCTCCTCAAGCATTCATCCTGCTGAGCAGGCTCCAAGGATGGCCTTAGAAGAAAGATTGGGGATGGGGAGGGGAACAGCGTAAGATGACTCTGGAATATCTTGTTACGGCAGAGAGTAAAGGAGTGTTTAAAAACATGTCACAAGGACACAGGAGACAGCTTGAAGGGGCTTCCACTGGCTAAATCTGGGATAATTTCAGCACAGAATAATTAAGGACAGTAATGCATTATAGGCCTTTGGAAAAAATTAGGAATCGATGATTCCATAAAAAATAAATAGATAGACAAACAAACAAAGAAATAAATAAATGGAGGAGAGAGGAAGTTAGGATGTGGACACTAAATTAGATAAAAGTATGGTATCAATTTTAAATTAATTGAGGTTGATAACCATATCATGATTGTGATATTAGAAAAAAATCCTAATTCTTAGGAAATACAACTGAAGTATTTATAAGTAAATGGCCAACTTGTTCTCAAATGGCTTAGAGAAAAAAAAATTAAGGGGATTGGCCCCGTGGCCGAGTGGTTAAGTTCTCACACTCGGCTTCGGCAGCTCAGGGTTTTGCTGGTTCCGATCCTGGGCACAGACACGGCACCGCTCATCAGGCCATGCTGAGGCAGCATCCCACATAGCACAACCAGAAGGACCTACAACTAGAATATACAACTATGGACTGGGGGGTTTTGGGGAGAAGAAAAAAAAAAGAAAAGACTGGCAACAGATGTTAGCTCAGGTGTCAATCTTTAAAAACAAGAAAAAAAAATTAAGGAAGACAAGATAGCAAATGACAAAGCCTACATTGTTAAAAGCAAAATTTTAACAATAGGTGAATCTGTGTAAGGGTTATTGGTGTCCTGTGTATTTTTTCATTCTTGTAGCTTTTCTGCAAGTTTAAAATTATTTCCAAATAAAAAGCTTAAATAAAAGGAAGAAGAAAGGGGACAAGGTCGTATCAGTGACGTACAAAGCAGGAGAGAGGCTGTGAGTTCTGAAATGAGAAAACGAAAGCAGATAGGAATAATAAAGACTTCTGCTTGGAGGCACACAGGGAGTTGGAAATGAACTTAAAGATCAAGTTGCAAGATGGAAGAATGGGTAGGAAGGAAGGAGGACTTGGGGGTCCTTGGATAGTGAGACTGTTACTTTTGCGACAGTATATAACGCCTTGATCAAGAACCATGACCAAATAAAATAAAAGTAAACCCCTGATCCACATTGGTATCCAGACACAATAATATAATGATTGGGAAGACAGTATTTTCTTTAATTATAAGAATTATTTAAAACCGTCTTGTGACCCACTCTCCCACGTCCTGCTTGGCTGAGAGAATAGCCAAGAAGGAGGTGAAGCGGAGCACAAACAATCCCTGCCTGCAAGTTGGAGATGGTCCTTTAGTTACCCAGGAGAAGGGGAAAGGCCCTACAGACGCCCATTCTAAGAGGAGGGAACAGATGGGGAAGACTATTGGCTTGGAACTGGCCAACAGCGGACAAGAGAGCCTTGGGAACCATCTGTTCTTAGTTCTAGTCCTCCAATAGGAATTTAGGAACCACTTGCCCAGGACCCCTATTCTCAGTGAATTTACGCTTGCACACCCAGGAATTGCTCCTCCCTCATTCTGAGCCTCAGAGTAGCCTTCATCCTGGGGTCTCTACCCTTTCTTGATGACGTGAATCCATTCATGTACGCTTTTCTTTGAAACTTCTTGCACAGGCTCTGGTACTCAAGAGTGAGTGAAGTTCCAAAATAGAATGAGCAACAGAAACTCAAATCAAAGGTTAAAAATTAAGGAAGCTTTGAAATCCCTCACCCTAGAAAATAATAATTAAAAACTGAGCCCCAAATGTACACATTCCTCCTTTTACTCCACCCTGTCAAGTAGCACATGCAATGAGGCATGCTCACAATGTAAATCCTGTCTCTCTTTTTTTTCCCCTTTCCCCCCAGCTTTATTGAGATATAATTGACACATAACACTGTGTAAGCTTAAGGTATACAACATGATGATTTGATATATGCATATATTATGAAATGATTACCACGACAAGGTTAGTTGTTAAGACACCCATCACCTCACATAATTACCTTTTGTGTGTGTGTGTTTGTGTGTGTGTGTGCACGGCAAGAACATTTAAGGTCTATTCCCTTAGCAAATTTCAAGTATACAATACAGTATTGTTAACTATGGTCACCACTCTGTGCATGAGATGCCAGAACTTACTCATCTATGTAAATATTTTCTCTATCCGTTGGCCTCCTTCATTTTTCTCTTGCTGTAGATTGCACGGTCCTGGAGAATGGGGACTGAAACTTGTCTAGTGCTTGTACAGCAAGTCCTGGAGTAAGTAATTGGCTGTTTAATTAGTCATTTTATTGAATAGACGATATCATGGGTAGGGCTGAGCCTCTTGGTCTTAGCCATCAGTAAAACTGGGTTTTCTTCCTGGTTGTGTGACTGACTCACCAGGTGGCCTGAGGAAACTATGTCATCTTTCACTTGCCACCTACCAGCCCAAGAGAGGAATGCTGTGGAGGTTATGATTGAGGTCATACTGGGGAAGAGAGAGATCCTTTTCCAGAGAAGACTCTTTAATTAATGTGTCTGTGCGTTTTGAGCCAAATGAGCAATATTAGGTCAGTGTGTCAAAAGTCACGTATCTGGGTCCTTGGAAGGCTCGGAGAAGAGTCGCAAAGTTGGGGCCAGAGCTATTTTTCAGCAGCAACTGCCAACTTTAACGTCTATGGAGCAACTCAACCAATGTCCTTGACTTTCTGAGTCTTTACTAGAAGCCCTTAAAAGGGACAGTTACTGAAAGGCAAGAAGGGCAGAACAAATGGATTTTTATTTTTCGTTTGATAAAACCACTCTGACTTCATATATTTTTAATGTCTTAGTTATTTTTACAGTGGCATTATATTCTAGAAAAGTCCATCGTAAGGAATGAGTGAAAACCAGATTTCCTTGTTCCTCTCTCTCAATACTAAATATTATAACAGGTTTACCTATGTTATCTCTCAATCTCGGAGGAAATGTGCAATTCATTCAGCAAACATCTACTCCATCCTAGGTTCTGTGTCAGGTGGCATTTTAAAGAGTCAGTCATGAATGAAATAAAACACACAAATAAGTATAAAATTGCAACCTGTGATATATGCCATGTAAAAGAGATGTGGTATAAAATGAGAATTTTTTTTTTTGAGGAAGATTAGCCCTGAGCTAACTGCTGCCAATCCTCCTCTTTTTGCTGAGGAAGATTGGCCCTGAGCTAACATCCGTGCCCATCTTCCTCTACTTTATATGTGGGACACCTGCCACAGCATGGCTTGCCAAGGGGTGCCACATCTGCACCTGGGATCTGAACCGGCAAACCCTGGGCCACCGAAGCAGAACATGTGCACTTAACCGCTGCGCCACTGGGCTGGCCCTAAAATGGGAATTTAAATAGGGAGTTTGGCCTGGTCTGGGATTCACAAATCTTCTTCTCTTACATCTGGAAATGCCAACAATGGGGGACTCATTTTGCAAAGCATAACAATGTTACACTGAAGAGCAAATTCAAGTTCCCCAAATTATTAAGTTTTAGTTTCATAGATTTTTACTTTTATTACCTAGACTTAATATTCCAGGTATTGTATCCTTTTCATTTTAATGTGCTCCATTTGCCTTGAATTCCATCAAATGATATTATTACCATAACTTGGTTTTCTTTTTGTTAGCATTTACCTGGAATGTTTTGTATCCTTTTTTTAACCTTTGAATCTGTTCGGGTTAGGGGGTCTTACATATATTATCTAGCTGGGTTTTGTTTTATGACCCAATCTGGGAGCCCTTTTTAAAAAAAACAAGCAAGTTCACATTTATTGGCATCACAGATCTGGTGCCTCACTCAGATCTGCCTTCAAGGGAATGTGCTGCAGGGAGCACGGCTGAGTTGACTGTGCCTCCAGCTGCCCCACAGTGTTCACACGAAAACCACGGCTCCGCCAGGCTGCTCCCAGCCAGTGACCGAGCACTGTAGTCTACTAGGGTCAGGCCAAGGTGGCCATTCCTGCTTCATGTGGGATTCCAGTAATGGGCAACTTTGGCTCAGGGACTCCCCATCAGCCTGGCTGAAATCTTCTCAGAACCATGCTGAAGCTCTTTCTACCCAATCCTTCGTTTCCCCTCTGCTTCCTAGGTGTCAGATCAGCATCACGGCGTGAAAGCTCTTTCTGCCTATTCCCGCCGGCTTTATCCTTCACACCTGTCCTCCAATAGATCTCTTACGTGTCCAATCCCTTCTTGGTGTCTGCTTCTTGGAGGACCGAAACTGACACACTTGGATTTCATACGGTAATGCTGTATTTTCTAATACTATATGGATTGTGCTG